TGGTTGTAGTTAAATTCTTTGGGGATGAAGGGGCATGTGGTTGTAGTTATTTTTGGGGGATGAAGGGGCATGTGGTTGTAGTTAAATTCTGTGGGGATGAAGGGGCATGTGGTTGTAGTTAAATTCTTTGGGGATGAAGGGGCATGTGGTTGTAGTTATTTTTGGGGGATGAAGGGGCATGTGGTTGTAGTTAAATTCTGTGGGGATGAAGGGGCATGTGGTTGTAGTTAAATTCTTTGGGGATGAAGGGGCATGTGGTTGTAGTGCAGGGATGAAGAATGTCATTGTAGCAGAGGGATGATTTATGATGGCGGTGATGATGATTTTTGATTGGTAGTGGGGATGATTTCTGTTTGTAGTGGGATGGTGGTGGGGGGGTGTGGTGGTAATGGATGATGCTAGTGAGTCCTTCTGCACTGTTTTTCTATTCCTCTGTTGTTTCTGTCTAGTTAATTGCTCCTTCTTTCTGATCAAACTTGAACTGTCTATTGACCTTACCTCGACTATTCAGTGTAAGTCTCCCATCATACGTCACTTTTCAAAGGGGTGTATGTTGTTGTTATCAGTCCAGCAACAGCTGGGCTGTCGCCCTCCTGTCCAATGCCATGTAGCAAAAGGGTGTATATGGCGGAGCGTTTACACAAAGCGAAATCAATCTCTCCTTCTTGTTTTCTTTTTGGGTTACTCCCTAGTAATTCCTCTTTTCTCTAGTAACACCTCTGATCTTTTGCAACACTTCTAATCTTTTGCAACACCTCTGATCTTTTGCAACACTTCTAATCTTTTGTAACACCTCTGATCTTTTGCAACACTTCTAATCTTTTGTAACACCTCTGATCTTTTGCAACACTTCTAATCTTTTGCAACACCTCTAATCTTCAGCACTTATAAGACATATCACGGGCAGTATTGCATACAGACGATCTTTTGCAACGCTTCTAATCTTTTGTAACACCTCTAATCTTCAGCACTTATAAGACATATCACGGGCAGTATTGCACACTGACGTATCTCAAAGGCCGCCAAAAATGACTTACGTCTGTATGCAATACTGCCCGCGATATTTGTGTTATAAGTGCCGTCAAACTCTTACTAAGACCTTTACAAAACCCTCAAACTGAGACGCGTGTATTTCAGTTCCTGTCCTACCAGCAGCCCATCGCCACGGGGAACTGGGGCAGTGGT